GCAACATCTGCCTCCCAGGTTCAAGCGATTCTCCTGTCTCAGCCTCCCTAGTAGCTGCGATTACAGGCATGTGCCACCACGCTCAGCTAATTGTGTTGTATTTTTAGTAGAGACGGGGTTTCCTCATGTTGGTCAGGCTGGTCTCAAACTCCTGATCTCAGGTGATCTGTCCAATTTGGCCTCCCAAAGTGCTGGGATTACAGGCATGAGCTACCACGCCCGGCCATTCAAAACTCTTTTTGGTCCAGTTTCTCAGAGGATTGGGCCATTCTCTCCTCCCTGGCCTCCACTGCCTCCTGCCCAGAATGCCCAGGGCCTGGCTCTGGGGCAGCCTCAGCCCACATTTTATGTCCCAGCATGGTCCTGGTTTGGGGAGGGCCTGTCCCCAGCACCTGGTTGGCTTGGAATAGGCATGGTCCATGGATTAGTTTTTTTTTTGAACAGGGCCTCCCTCTGTCACCAGGGCTGGAGTACAGTGGCAAGATCTCCACTCACTACTGCCTCGACCTCCTGGGCTCAAGTGGTCCTCCCCTCTCAGCCTCCAGAGTAGCTGAGATGACAGACATGTGCAACCACACCTGGCTAATTTTTGTGTTTTTTTTGTAAGTGGATCCCTTGAGCCCAAGAGTTCAAGGCCAGTTTGGGAATGTTGCCCATGGTGGTCTTGAACTCTTGGGCTCAAGTGATCCACCTGCCTCCGCCTCCCAAACTGTTGGGATTACAGGCGTGAGCCACTGCTCCAGGCCTGGATTGGTTTGTTGAATGAGGTTTGTTGTGTGAGACCAAGCTGGGGGGCCAGAGGGTGGCGCTCACCTGATGTCTGAGGCTGTAGTCCTCTCAGGTCTGGGAAGAGAAGAGAAAGGACTCCCTGCAAGTCCACCCGGCCCTTCCTCTCCACTCAGAACCAGGGCCAGGCCCCCACCCCCATTAGTAACCCCCAACCCCTAAGACCTCCATGCTTCCAGAACTCCAGGGCCCCACCTGCCTGGGTTTCAGCTCCCAGGAAGGCCCCGGCTCCCCACCCATTCCCATTCACACATCCCAGGGAGACAGAGAATGTGGAGATCCGGGACTCTGGGGAAGCAGCAGCACATGCACAGGAAATGGGCAGGCAGACAGGGACAGGGTGGGGCTCACCTGGCTTCTGGGGTTTTCCACCCTCTCCAAAGCCTGGGGGGACGATGGGAGCGTGAGGGATCCTTTCCTCTGGGCCTGTGCCCAGAATCTCAGCCCCAGGCTCCCTGCTTCCGTCCCCATCCTCTTTATCTGGTCCAAAGCCATTTTGAGCGGCAGGACCTATTTGAGGAGCAGACACAGCAGTGTGGAGGCGCTGCAGTGGGCATGAGCTGGGGCCTGGAGCCCTGCCCTCTCCCTTTCTTTCTCGTGGCCTCAGCCCTCTCCTGGTGTGTCTCATGTGAACTCCCTCCCAGGACTGACCGCAGTCGTGGTTGGATTTGGCTCTTGGCCTGAGAGTCCAGACCGTGGCCGCACTTGACCAGCTAGAGTGTCCTCCCTGCCCAGCTGAGGCCTGGCTCAGGGTGGGTGGGTGCTCAGGGGAGATTGGGTGAATGAGTGAACCCCCAAGAGCCCATCAGGGACCCAGAGTGTGGCCCCGGGCCCCTGACCTCTCCCTCCCAGCCACCCCAGCCCCTTTGGCCCCCACCTGGCTGGGTTCCTGGGCTGTTTCCATTGCTGTATCCTGGGAGGAAAAGCAGTGTGTGAGGGGTGGATTTGGGGAGGACTTGAGGGTGGGAGAAGACTAGAGATGCAGGGGCCACAATCAAGATGGGGGACGGGAGAGCAGGGGCTCACGGACCCCCCCCATTTCCTGTCCTCCCCAAGAAATCAACTTTCTGCCCTCTGGACTTCTAACATCCCCTATCTCTTCCCTGTGTCTCCTTCTAGAATCCTAGCTTAGTCCAGATGCCCTCACCTGGCTGGGCTCCAGCTCCCAGGAAGTCCCCAGCTCCCTTCCCATCCCCATCACCAGATCCTGGGAGACCTAGTGGAAGGAGGAAGCGGAGACTAGGCCGATGTGTGTGCACGGGGGAGTGGAGGACAGGGACACAGGACAAGGCAGGCACACCTGGCTTCGGAGGTCTCACCGCCCCCCATGCCAGGAAAAGAGAGACCAGGGAAGGGAGACTGCAGCTCCCTCCAGCCCCCAGACCCAAGCCCAGGCCCTCAGCTCCACCCCACCCTCCCTGGCCTGGTTTTGGGCCTGTGGGGTGAGGGAGGCAGAGGCTGGAGCTAGGCCATGTGGGGTGCAGTTCTGTGGACTAAACATCACCCCAGCACCACCGTGTCCCACGCCCTGACAGTTCTCAAAGGGCATGTGCCCAGAGGGCAGCTCAAAGGCCTCCCCAGGAGTCCCCAGTCACAGGCATGGCATCGGCAGGCCACAAAGGGACCAGTGCCTGGGGAGGGTGACAGACTGAGAGGGGGACAGAGAGGGACGGGACACGGCGAGTGTGGCAGGGAGGCAGCACAGGGGTGGGGTCCTCCCTTCACCCGCTTCTGAGGCTTCCTCTCCCCCAGGCCTGGGGAGAGCTAGAAAGAGGCTGACATTGATCCCAAGAACTCCTCCCCTAAGAATGAGGGTTAGGACCCCGAGCCCTCCTGCCTGCCCCTCCCTGTGGCCCCTGCCCAGGCACCCTTGGGTGTGAGAGAAAGATGTGAGACAGAACCTGGTGGGGTTCCTGCCCCTGGAAGAGTGCCAGCACCCAAACCACTTCTGCTCTCCAATCCTGGGGAGACAGAGGCGAGGTCCATGAGCTGTGGGGTGGGCAGGCTTGGGGGACACAGAGGCGCATGGATAGAACTGGGCAGGGTGGGGCAGGGCTGTACCTCACCTGGCTTCAGAGGTTTCACACCCACTCCCAGGCCTGGGAAGGGACAGAGTGGCTGAGCCCTGCCCACCCTCCAGAGCCCAGCTCTCCCAGCCTCTGGTTCCCTGACTCTGCTATACCTACTCCTCCTCCCTCCCAGAAGCCCAGATTCTGCCCCACCTGTCTACATCCTCACCTGGCTGTGCTCCAGCCCCTGGGAAGGCCCCTGCTCCCAGCCCGTTTCCATATCCTGGGGAGACAGAGCCAGAGGGACATGAGGAGGGGGGACAGGGGCGTCAAGTGGAGACAGAGACAGACAGCAGGAAGTGGACATTAGGACGGGTATGGGGTGGGCTCGCCTCTGGCTTCTAGGGTTTCACAGCCCCTCCAAAGCCTGGGAAGAGAGATGGGCAGATGAAGGAGCCAGTGTATCCCTTCACCAACCAGACATCAGAACTCCCTGTGGTCCCCTTCCTGCCCACCTCCCGTGAGGCTCCCACCTATTCTGCCTTCTCTGAGGCCTGGGAGAGCCTGGAGAGGACCTCAGAAATGCTGATCTGGCTGCATCCCTTCCCCCACAACATCAGGCAAGATTAGGCACCTCCATGCCCCTCCCATGTCTGTACAGCTTCCCCCCACCTCATCTGGCTGGGCTGCAGCACCTGGGAAGGTCCTGAACCCTGGGGCGAGAAGGCAGGAGGGAGTCGGGAAGAGTGAGGGAGGCGGACTCGGTGCAGGCAGGGCTGGGCGAGACTCACCTAGGTTCTGGGGTTTCACGCCCCCTTCAATGCCTGGAAAAGAGATGAGGATCAGATGAGGGGCTCAGGAATCCCCATGCCAGGGATACCCGTAGAATCCTGCCTTCCAGCTCCCCAACTCCCACCTCTACCTGCTCCATGGCCATTCTGAGTGGAAGGGCCTGTGAGAGAGGGAGAGGTGAGCTGAGGAGGTGTGGGGTCCCAGCTGTGGTGGGGGTACAAGACCCTTGGACCCCCCCCCCCCGTGGACTAAGCCAGACAGCAGAAAATCTGAGCGGCTCCCTGTGCCTCCCTCCCCATCACTCTCCAATCCTGCCTTTTCCCTCTGTGGCTTGGGAGGGAGGCAAGGAGGGGACCCTATGGCTGTCACCTGGCTGGATTCCCAGGCCATGCCTGATCCCGAATCCTGGAGAGACAGATGAGGTGAGGTGAGGGGTGTGAGAGAAAGCTGGGGAGGCAGAGCTGGGGCCGGGGCAGGGCTCACCTGGCCTCTGTGGTTTCACACCCCCTTCATAGGCTGGAGAGACAGGGAGCAGGTGAAGGACACCCTCTCCCAGGATCTCCCCGGATCTCCCCAGAACCTCCCGCCTGCCCATAGCCTTTCCACGAAGCTTGCCTGTGGGAACTCAGTCCCTTCCCATGAGGGTGGAGGGCTACCGAGCACACGTGGGTGCTTCCAGCCTCCCGTCTTCTCTCCTTCCCTCTCTCTTTCCTTTCCTTCCTCCTTCCTTCTCTCCTTCTTTCCTTCCCTCTCCACTCCCTTTCTTCCTGCCTACCTTCCCCTCTCCCCAGCCAGGATGCCTGGGGGACACTCCGGGGCTCAGCTCTGTCCCCACCTATTTCTTTTTCTTTCTTTTTTTTTTGAGACGGAGTCTTGCTCTGATGCCCAGGCTGGAGTGCAATGGCATGATCTCATCTCATTGCAAACTCCGCCTCCCAGGTTCAAGCGGTTCTCCTGCCTCAGTCTCCCAAGTAGCTGGGACTACAGGCACATGCCACCATGCCCGGCTAATTTTTGGACTTTTAGTAGAGACGGGGTTTCACCATGTTGGCCAGGCTGGTCTTGAACTCCTCACCTTGTGATCCACCCTCCTCAACCTCCCAAAGTGCTGGGATTACAAGCGTGAGCCACCTCACCTGGCCTGGCCCCCTATATTTCTGAGATGACTGCTTCCCCCTTTACCTTTCCACCTCCCAACCCAGCTTTCCCTGCTCCTGCCCTCCCTCCGCAACCCCCCCCTCCCAAGCCCTGCCCTCGGACTCCTCCCTTCCTTATGCCAGGCCTCACCTGCTCCCAGACCACTGGGGGGACCATAGGCCATCGGAGAAGTGAGACGGTGAGCCCAGGGTACTTGAGCAGCTGGGAGCCAGTGTACCACCCTCCCCAAGCACCCCCTACAAGCTTTACCTGATCGGTAGCCATTTGGGCTCTCTAAGCCTGTGGGCTCCAGGAAGAAGTGGGAGAACTTAGGAGGGGACTAAGGGGTCCAAATCTGGATGCCACCCACCTCCCTGGGCCTCAGTTTCCCTGCTGTCACAGGAGGGTAGAAGGCAGAGCCCGTGAGCAGTCTGGGGCCAGGGTAGTGGAGGCTGGAGGGCCCCTGCGCCTGGAGGAAGGTATCTGAGCCGGGGCCCTGGGGCGCTGTGGGGCAGAGCCCACTCCAGCCTCTTCCTCACCTCTCCCATCCATTCTCTGTACTGGGCTCCCCTCCCTGGAAATCTCCTCTTCTTCTCACCCCCGACCTCCCCCCTCATCTTTCTCTCCTGAAGCTCAGATGCATCAGGGCTCAAGGGAGCCTCTCCTCCTACCCTTAGGACCCCCCATGTCTCTGGAGTAAAGACCCTTCCATGACACTCGGCCTCCTGCCTGGGCTCTCCTTGTCCCCCCCCCGTCACACCTGCGACCCTTCTGAGCCAGCGCAGGCCCCTCCTCAGGGCTGCATGTTCTGCCCGGCGGACTGTTTCCAGAGTGCAGGGCGTCTGTGTCCCCCCGACCCTTGAGTGGACACTTGATAAGATTCCCTGCCCAGAAGACAGCAAGGTCCCTCAGCTCTCCTGGGCCTGCCATCAGGAGTCCCAGAGAGCACCCACACTCCCAGGGCAGGAGAGATGGGGCCTCTTCCCTGACGCCAGTGCCAGAGGGGCCACCTACCTTTCCGCAGGCCAGGAGGTAGCAGGGGCAGCCCTGGGCAAGTAAGAAGGTGCTGACTCAAGGCTGGGGACCCCAGAGGCTGAGATGGGGCAGGGCCCAGGCATCTATCCTCAAGCTCCCCAAAAACCCTCGATGTCTGAATTCTCTGCCCAGACCAGGCCAGGCTTCCCACACCCCAACCCCCCTTGTCTCCAGGACCCCAACATCTGGCCAGGGCCTCACCAGGACCCCCAGCCCCGGTCACAGATGCCTCCCTTCCAACCCCCAGCCTTGAGCTGCCCTCACCGCCTTGCAAGCTCTCGGGAGTCAGGCAGAGAAGGAAAAGAGCCACGGGGAAGACCCAGGCGCCCATGACTCTGGACAGAGTGGGAAGGCCCACACCCTTTGGGCTTTTAAACACCCCTGGTTGGGTGGGGACCCTTACCCAGGCGCCCCAGCTTTGAGAGGCAGAGGCTCTGCCTGCAGACCCTGGGGGGTCAGCCCCGCACCTCCCCCTGTGACAGAAGTCTAGCTCTAGCCCCTCATCCATCATGGGCACTGACAGCAAGACAGGCCCCCTGCCTGGCCCCTGAGACTTCTCCACCCCTGTCAGCAACTTAGGCCCTGGCGCCAGGCCCAGAAGGCTCAAATGTCCACCCAGTAAGGGGCAGGCAGGCACCCTAGGCCCAGCCCAAACACAGCTGGGGAGAGAGTGGGAGCCAGGGCCAGAAAAGCTGGGGCTGCAGAGTGTTGCAGACAGCAGGGGTGGAGGTGACAGCCTCTCAGACCCTGTCTGACAGGCGGGTGGCGTCCCCAACAAAAGCCAGGCGTCATCCCGTCTAATCCTGAGACCACATAGACCTCTCCTGGGGGGCCCTTTGTCCTCATGGAGGCTCGGACTGCCAGAGTGGGCCAGAGACCCCAACTCCAGAGCCCCCCCATTCCAGGAGGGATAGGGACACACAGGGATGGGCCAGCTGTCCCCAGCCTCTCTGAGAGTCCTTGGAGGCCCTCCAGCTCCTTCTCATCTCCTGCCTTAGCAGCGACTCTGACTTTGGGTCACAGGCTAGCAGAGCCACCGCTCACGGTGGCAGGGCAGGACTGCAGGAGAGGCTAAGGAGGGACGTGGGGGGCTGGAAGCAGCTCTCCATGCCTGGGGCTGGGTGGACGGACTTGGAGCCGGGGCCCTGTGCTGGGGGCCTGGCAGGAAGGCGCCGGGTGTGGGGGTCTGGGCAACAGGCACCACCCCACCAGGAGCCTGCAAACCCCACCAGGCTGGCTGGGGATGGCAGTGAGTCAGCCCCCAGGCCCTGCACCCTTGTCCAGAAGGCCCCACACCCTGTCTGTCTGCTGGCCTGTCCCCTGCTCTGCCAGCCCCTCCTCGAGCCTCTGGCTAAGGAGTCCAGCCTGCCAAGCCAGGCAGCCCAGCTAGGCTGGGGGTCTGGAGAGTGGCTACAATGAGGAAGGGGCAGCAGGGGCTTCTCCCAGAGAGGCTCTGGAGCCCACACATCTGCGGCCAGGTCCAGCTGCCAGTAGACTGCAGTTACCACCAGGTACCCTCCCTCACAGGCCAGCCCCACACTGATGTCCCTGTGTCCCCTCCCTCTCTGCCTCCCCTCCCACCTACATCACTGGTTGCACCCCACTGCTTCTCTTCCTCCCCACACGAGCCCCCCGGGGCTCACACCCACAGGCACACTGAGATGCCCATGGTGTCCACCTCCCCACCACAGACCCAACTTTGCATGAGGCCTGTCTGCTCATGGTAGGCCCCCTCAGCCCAGCGCCTCAGAACAGTGCCCTGAATGACCCCCTCCTGCCCTGCCTGGCAGCCATGAGTCGGGGTCCCAGACGCTGGACCTTCAGAGGCTGCTGATGGGCTCAGGGATGCTCCGACCCCATCCATCCCATGTGAGCCCAGGGCAGCAGGGACAGTCCATTCAGACTCCCTGGGAGGGCTTTCCTGCCAGGCCACCTGCTCAGCCCATGGCACAGGCACATGTCCCCTGTGTATTCATGGTGGGCAGCCGAGTGCCCCGTGGCTAGCAGCTAGGTGCTGGATTCAGACGGGGTGCACACACCCACTCCATCTGTCTCGAGGCCTTCCCGAGTGTGTTCACTCTCCCCTGAAAGGACAATACGAGCACCTTGATGTTGGGGCTATTGGGAGGAGCTGGCACTTATCTTCATTTACAGATGGGGAAACAGAGGGAGAGGGGAGGGCACTTGGCTCAGATTGTGCAACTCCTGAGCAGTGGGGCTGAGAGCTGAACCCCAGCAGTCTGGCAGTCCCCACGTCTGCTGTCCCTGCTCTCCAGCACCTTACATGCTTATACATGGGCAGTAGGCCCAGTTATGCCAGACAGCACGAGGTGTCTGCTTCAGACCCGGGACAGCTGAGAGCTTCTACACAGACACATGGCCCGCCCCGCAGGATGCTGGGAAAGAATGGCCCAGGAGGAGGCAGGCGGGAGACCAGGAGGGGCCCTGTGGGAGGTAAAGAATGGGTGCCTGCTTGGCCACTGCCAGAGGGAACACCAGTGCCCGCCACCACTGCCAGGCTGCCTGGTGCTGGCATGGCCTTGGAAAATGCCAGCCAGCCCAGGGCGTCGGGCCAGCCTGACAGCCACTCAGGAGCAGGCTGGGCCCAGTCAGTGTCCCAGCCCCTGCAATGCCACCACCCCTACTGCCAGCACAGCCAGGCCCCTCTGCTCACCCCCAGACCCACCCAGGCAGGGCCTGCCTGAGCGAGGACCATGTGCGGGCCAGGAGAGCCCCTGCTGAAGCCCTGACGTGGACTACCCTTTGCTTCCAGGCACCCTGGCCTGAGGGGTACACAACACAGCCCCTGAACAGAGGAGCAGCTATGGAGGGCTAGGGCTGGGGCCTGAGGGCAGGGCAACAGCAGGCATGTTGGAAGTGCGGGACCCAGGCCCAGGAAGTGCATTGCCTAAAATGGCGAGAGACTCCCTGCCAGCTGCTTGACACCAGCAGCACCTGTGAGGGCAGGAATTTGGGGAGGACAGTTGGAGCAGTGGCCAGGCGCCTGCTGGGCAGACACCTTCTGCACTCAGCTGTGAGCTGCGGGTCCTGCCGGCCACTCTGCTTGGGCAGCTCTGCAGTCCAAACCCAAATATCAGAGCCTCTAGTGCACCATACTAGGCATCCCAAGGCAACTCACACCAGCAAAGCTGACCTGTACGAACTCCTCCCTACCCATCTGCCAGTTTATTTATTTATTTATTTATTTATTTATTTTTTTTTGAGACAGAGTTTCACTCTTGTTACCTAGGCTGGAGTGCAATGGCGCGATCTCGGCTCACCGCAACCTCCGCCTCCTGGGCTCAGGCAATTCTCCTGCCTCAACCTCCTGAGTAGCTAGGATTACAGGCACGTACCACCATGCCCAGCTAATTTTTTGTATTTTTAGTAGAGACGGGGTTTCACCATGTTGACCAGGATGGTCTCGATCTCTTGACCTCGTGATCCACCCGCCTCGGCCTCCCACAGTGCTGGGATTACAGGCTTGAGCCACCGCGCCCGGCCATCTGCCAGTTTATTAAAATCTTATGCAATTCTTCTGGTGTAGTGTCAGAAAAAAAAAAAAAAAGCCTTAAACAAATGTGGCCAGGCACAGTGGCTCATGCCTATAATTCCAGTACTTTGGGAGGCCAAGGCAGGAGGATTGTTTGAACCCAGGAGTTTGAGATCAGCCTGGGCAACATAATGAGACCTCCTCCGTCTCTACAAAAGATAAAAAATTACCAGGGTCGGGTGGTGCACCCGTGGTTCCAGCTACTTGGGAGGCTGAGGTGGAGGATCACTTGAGCTTGGGAGGTTGAGGCTGCAGTGAACTGTGATCATACTATTGCCTGGGTGACAGAGTGAGACTCTGTCTCAAAAATAATCAAAAAACCGGCTGGGCACAGTGGCTCACGCCTGTAATCCCAGCACTTTGGGAGGCCGAGGCGGGTGGATCACGAGGTCAAGAGATCGAGACCATCCTGGTCAACATGGTGAAACCCCGTCTCTACTAAAAATACAAAAAAATTAGCTGGGCATGGTGGCGCGTGCCTCTAGTCCCCGCTACTCGGGAGGCTGAGGCAGGAGAATTGCCTGAACCCAGGAGGCGGAGGTTGCGGTGAGCCGAGATCGCGCCATTGCACTCCAGCCTGGGCAACAAGATCGAAACTCCGTCTCAAAAAAAAAAAAAAAAAAAAAAGAAATTGAGACCATTCTGGCCAACATGGTGAAACCCCGTCGCTACAAAAATACAAAAGTTAGCTGCGCTTCTTGACACACACCTGTAGTTCCAGCTACTCAGGAGGCTGAGGCAGGAGAATCGCTTGAACCTGGGAGGTGGAGGTTGCAGTGAGCCAAGATCGCACCACAGCACTCCAACCTGGCAATAGGGCAACAGTGTGTCTCAAAAAAAAAAAAAAAGGCCGACACGGTGGTTCACGCCTGTAATCCCAGTACTTTGGGAGGCCGAGGCGGGCAGATCATGAGGTCAGGAGATCGAGACTATCCTGGCCAATATGGTGAAACCCCGTCTCTACTAAAAATACAAAAATTATCTGGGTGTGGTGGCGCGTCCCTGTAATCTCAGCTACTCTGGAGGCTGAAGCAGGAGAATCGCTTAAACCCGGGAGGCGGAGGTTGCAGTGAGCTGAGAGTGCACCACTGCATTCCAGCCTGTCGACAGAGTGAGACTCCGTCTCAAAACAAAATAAAACAAACAAAAAAAACCCTTATTCAATTATGAAATATAGCATGCAAAAATAAGCGCACGTGAGACGTGAACGTGCGGTGTGGCAATTGTACTTAGGAAGCAAACCCCTGTGCAACCAGACCAGGGCCAAGAAATAGAACATAGCCAGTTCTGCAGAAGCACCCGTCACAGTCCTCTCCCTCCCATTAGGATAGCCATGTTTGCACTTGTGGTGGTCATTCCCTCGCCTTTACTTTTTTTTTTTCTTCAGACGGAATTTCGCTGTTGTCGCTCCTGTGTTGTCCTTTTGTGGCCGCAATGGGATGAGTGCGTCTTCCTGGGAGAGTCTGGGCGGGGTCGCGGGTGCTGTGGCGGCGATGAGACACACGGGGGCGCGCGCGGCCCGCGCCTGGACGCGTTTGCAGAGGATGCAGGACGCGCGAGTGGGGCCGGTTCTGGAACTGCGTGTCCCGGCGGCGGCTGGGCGGATTCCTCCCGAAAGGAGGCGGTCCAAGCACTTTGGTCCGGAACCCTGTGGGCCTGTTCCTCTGTCCCTGTGACACAGGGTGGTTAGAGGAGTCCCGGCTTCTCTCCTCCTGGGGCCTATTTTTGGTCCAGACTGCAGCGTTGAAAACTGCAACAGATTGTATAATGGGGGGGTGGTCTGTTTTATTATTATTATTATTGAGGCTGAGTCTGACTCTGTCACCCAGGCTGGAGTGCAGTGGCACCGTCTCGGCTCACTACAACCTCCACCTCCTGGGCTCAAGTGATCCTCCCACCTCAGCCTCCTGAGCAGGTGGAAAGCATAGGTGCACACCACGATGTCCAGCTAATTTTTTGCTGGTCTCAAACTTCTGAACTCAAGTGACCTGCCCGCCTCAGCCTCCCAAAGTGCTGGGGATTACAGGCGTGAGCC